TGGAAGCTCCCGAACAACTTCAGCTAATAATGGAGCCGATTTCCAAAGTCTATTTTGATCCTGTCATCGTACTAGACTTCCAAGTATTTGGATTTCTTTAGATCTCCTGTTGCTCTTTAATCTCATTTTCAGTCGCTGTACCCTTCGATGATCATCGCTTACAACTACTGTTTTTCAACAGTTTTTGGAAAGGTAGTCACCTCCCAAATGTTTTTTCTCACATCATAACCTTTACACAATAAACCTCGGTATCTTTTCACATTGAAGATATAGGGGTAAATTTGAAGCTAGGTTAATATAGAGCTGGAGTGTGAAATTGTGTCACAAGCGATTTTCGTTAATTTTTTAAGATTAGTATTGCACCACAATAATGGATATTCTCAAATTCCGCGGGTTAGTAGGTCGGTTATAACTTTTAATAGTAGGTGTTAGTGATAAATTGATTGTACTAAAGAATTTCGCGCACGCAGAATCTATAAACTTTTTATTCAATGAAATAAACTTCTATGTTTGCCCTCTCATCTCTTAATCATTAGTAAATGAGAGGATCTCTGGAAGTTTGTCTGAGATGCATGTATCTTTCACAATTATCTGAAGAATTCCATTATTTAAAAGGTGCACGTGTGACAAAGAATTTGAAAGCATCTTGCATGAAATTTCTATGGCTCCGAAAACTCAAAACTTGTTCTCATCAAAGCTGCAATTTCAGGTTTTCGAACTAGAAAGAATGGCTCGCGAGAAAAACAACTCAATAAGGCTTGGCGCCATGAAATATTCGGTGGCGGTGCGGTTTATTTTGCTAAAAGTCAGACATACATCAATGCTGTCTTTCCTAATAAAACGTTTAGAAACCTCAGCTGATAGAGTGCAGTTTAAAGAAAAAACTTCATTGCTCACCGCTTTCGTCTGCTTTTGTGACTCCAGCACAGCGTATAGGAGTTGTGCCTACAATGTTGAGAGAAGTTGGTTAAGAATTTTAAAATACTGAATGGTTCAACCTATTAGAGTTATGTTTAGGTTCTTGGTGCTCGAATTATGGTAAAGACATCTATGAAATACGCTCGTAGCAAAGTAAAAGTTTTTTGACGCTTTCCTCTTCTCTATCACTCTGACTTTTTTCTACTTAAGCGCTTACGAAGAATTTTGGATGCGCGACAGCTGGCGCTGAAGCTCATAGCTAATGTCACCTACGGGTATACGAGCGCGAACTTCAGCGGAAGAATGCCGTGTGTTGAGGTGAGGTCTATAGTTAAAAACATTAAAAGTAAAGGGAATGAGCAATTCCAGGTTGCGGATGCTATCCTAGGAAAAGGCAGAGAAACTCTTGAGCGAGCAATTGCCCTCGTAAATGGTGGGAATTACGGTGGGGCGAAAGTCATCTATGGCGATACAGACAGTATGTTCGTTTTAGTTCCAGGTATGCTATATTTCATGAAGGCTATTCTCTGCATTTAGCTGTTACTCTATTATCACAAGGACAACGCCCTCTTTCCTCTCTTTTTTTT